CTCTGTGTGTGTGTGTGTAATGAAAGTGTGTAAGTAGAATAGGATTCACTTGGAAACAATATTTTGCTTTATAGTCTGCTTTATAGATGAAATTTTATCTATGTCCTCATATCCTCCAATCTAATTGGAAAGATAAGGCCCATACACACGTCGATTAGCTGCTTTGTCACGGTTCTTGAACCACAGACACAAATCAGCAGTGTGCTTCAGATTTGGCATCCATATTACAATCCACAAACTGCAGTTAAGGCTATGGTATACGTTTTATGTAGGCTTACGAAGACTCCACCGAAGGGCCAGATGTCAGAGACAGTGAATTTCACTGTGCATTGCTCTGATGAGGGATAACTTCTTTAGCAGACATATAACCAGACCATGTCTCCTACACATTATTAGAAGTTGTCTAGGTCTTTGGAATTTGGACACTTCGAAAATACTTCTGCTGTAAACATTAAATTGATAGCTTTTTAAAAATGTACAACCTCAGCATATATTAGCAAAAAGAAGAAAGCCATTCAGCTTCCAAGTTTTCTTAAGAATAGGAGCCAAAATCTCTGTGGCTTCTAACAAAAATAACTTCCAAATAAATATTGTGCCTTATGACACAAGGATAATTATAAATGAGAACTAGAAATATGTATTTAAATTTTTTTATTAACATATATGTAAGAAAAACACATGTGACCAATGCTAGAAGATATTCTCCTTAATTAAGTTGGTAAGAGGTACCACATTCTCCACAGGCTGGATGGCGTCAATGGATTTTGGCAGATTTCACTGAAGGAAGAAAATGCCAGGTTGACAAAGTTTATATTCTTTGTGGGAGACATTGTTTTGTAAAGTTCCCATTTGGGACAATATCCATCTCTGAGATCTTTCAAAGGAAGCTAACAGAGTATCCCAGAGAATAATGGACATAGAGCTAAACATGACACAGGCTACACACATTATCTGTGTTTTCCTAGTAAGCATGATACAAAAAAATTAGTGTTTGGGACAAAGATGGAGTTTCTGAATGATTTTGTCAATCAATGCAATAGTAAACTAAATTTAGAAAAGATAAAAGCTAGGGCCGGGTGTGGTGGTTCACACCTGTAATCCCAGCAATTTGGGAGGCCAAGGCGGGTGAATCACCTGAGGTCAGGAGTTCGAGACCAGCTTGGCCAACATGGCAAAACCCTGTGTCTACCAAAAATACAAAAATTAGCCAGGCATGGTAGTGTGCGCTCGTAGTCTCAGTTACCTGGGAGGCTGAGGCAGGAGAATTGCTTGAATCTGGGAGGCAGAGGTTGCAGTGATCTGAGATCGTGCCATTGCACTCCAGCCTGGGCAACAGAGTGTGACTTCATCTCAAAAAAAAAAAAAAAAAGATAAATCCAAACAGGTGAGATGAAATGCACACAAGGCACAAAGTGATATATTCTTTATAGAGAAAACCTTGAACGCTTATGAAAATGTTGATCAGTTCTTAAACATACTGATGGGAGCATAAACATTGCTATCTGTCTCACAGCAGGTCACTAGGCTTTAGCATAATTGTTTGATAAATGTAGAATTAGTTCTTGTTTTTCAATAAACAATAATAGGAATAATAGCAGCCAATATTCACTGAATGATTACTATGCACTAGGCATTTCTCTAAGAACTCTATAAACTGAATCTATCTGTGTGGACTCCATATTGGGTAGGTTTTACTGCTTTCCTTAACTTGCAGATGAAGAAACTGAGGCACTGATAGTCTCAATAATGATCAAAAGAAGTCATTGTTTGTCACTGTGGATGCAGAGAGGCATAGGGTGTCTGGTGCTTAATTCATTACCAGGGCTAAACTGGTGATTATACACATCAGGTACTCATGAAATATCAAAATAATATGTCCATGAGTATTTTACATGTTTGATTTCTCCCCAAAGCATTTTTAAACTCACATACTCTTTCAGATTTTGGACAAGATTCTGGCAAACTTTGGAATAAAGTTTTCCAGGCAAGCAGAGCTCCTGAACAGTGATCAATACCCTCATGGGCTGGTGAGTCCTTAAAAATAACCTGTCTAGACACCAGATACTGTTTTCTATGAGAGTGGGGAAAATTTAGGGTTAAACAGCCCTTATAAAAACAATGCCACTGCTATCATTATGTATGCTCAAGTCAAGTCCACTGTGAAAATACAGCTTCAGAAAGGTGGGTGAGGTTTGGAGACGCTGGTTTTGAAAGCCAATGGACTGTCTTCTTGTCTTCTGAGTCTGATATGTAAATGAGGACAGCGGTCCTCACCCCTGACTGTATACTTAAGAATCACTTGAGAGCTTTAAAAAAAATACAAGTATGGGGGCTCCATCGCAGACCAATTAAATCAGGATTTCAGGGAGTGTGGAGACTGAGCGTTTTTCAAAAGCTCCCCAGGGGCCTGCAACATGTAGCCAGCATGGAGAAGCCTATATCAGATGTAGTCTAGACCGCTGAAACTTCCCCTTGAGTATATACGTTGGAAGTCTCAGAACTGGGATGTAGTTGTTAAAATGTCTAAAGCCCGAACAGCCAAGTTGGTACACACTGTGGCAGAGAAAGCCCGAAGTGTATTTGGTAAGACCACCCACCTGCTGGGATCCTTGTGCCTCCCAGCTTATGTTATTTTGAAAGATAATTATTGTGAAAAAGTCTAGACAGTTGTTAGTATGGAAAGCCTATCAAGAACATGAGAAAGTATTCAGAGAATACAGAATTCATGTGATGACACAATATTATTTACAATTCAGAAGTCCTTCACCTATTAGCTCCCAAGAACGAGTCGTACAGGGGGTGAGGTGTGGAGGGCATGGATGTGAAGGCAGACTTATGAACACCAAAATTAATGGTAGATTTATATCAGGTTTCTACAAACAGGCTACACAAACCATTTCTTGGTAGCATTTCTTGGTGACTGGCTGCTAATTTAAGTTCTATCCTCTCCTGTAGGTCTGCTGTTGAGCTCATGACTACGCCGGGATTTAGGTGCTATCTAAGCTTCTTGAGGATGGCAGAGCACTTGGGTGGTTTGTTTCAGGGTGTCTTCACAATATTCCAACTGTCTTGAGTCTTTATTCAAAAAGCAATGGTTCATAGTTTCTCTGTAATTCTCGGAGAATTCGTGAAGTCACCTGAGCTCAAACCACAAGCTTACCCTGTCTCAAAAAAGGGATGTCCACAAAAGTGTTTCAAATGGCTAAAAAGACGGGGGTTTGCATGTTTTTCATCAGCTCACCGCTCCATCCCCTCTGACTAATGCAAGCCAGGAATGTAGGTGCGGAAGGGAAGCCAGGTCCTTCCCAGTGGGTCCTCCTGATGGAACGCCAGTCCTGAATAGTCCTCTCTACAGGTGCTAACAGCCTCTTCCTCCCTGTCCGGAGAGACCCCTACCGTGCTCTAGCGAGTAGACCCAGGCACACTGCAGTCTCCCAGCTAGAGCCAGATTTCTCTAGATCTTGCCTAGAACAGGCAAAAAGGCGTGCACTAGGAGAAAGGGAGAATATTCTCAGTGCCAACGCTCTCTTTCCCCAGAGCCACGGCAAGCAAGGAGCAAAGCTGAGGCGAAAACGAAGAGTTCCCCCAAATACACAAAGTGGGTGCATATCTGTTGGCGAAAACCCGGAATTTCCCAGTCTATTCAGAATGGCAAGTTCTTGCTATGTGAAATACGGGCAGGGTTAATGGTGCGGATGAATTCGGCTCTATTCTTAATGCCAGTGTGGACCTGTGGACCCAGCAGAAGTGAGGGTCGCACAGCACTGTTCAAGCCCCTGGCTCCTCTCCTGCCCGGCCTGTGCGTTTCCCTCGGACCTTAAACGGTTCCTTGGTTTGGGCAAGCTCAGGGCCCGGCCGGGTGGACTGGATGCCAGGGTGCACCTCCGGAATGACAGGACCGCGCAGAGCCGCGGGGCTGCGGGAGCCAGTGGGGCAGGAGTGCCCGCGGAGGCCGAACCAGGGC